TTCCATCTCCCTCCTTCACTCTCATTTCCTCTTCCCTCTCCTTCACCCTCCTTTCTCCTCGCTCCTTCATCCTCATATTTTCTCCCTCCTCCTTCATTCCCTCTCCCCTTCCTCCTCCTTCCCTCCCATTCCCCTCCCTTCTCCTTCCCCCTCATTTCCTCTTCCTCTTCCCTCCTCCTCCCTCCTTCCCCCTCATGTCCTATCCCTCCTTCTTCCCCCCCATTTCCTCTTCCCCTCCTTCCCTCCCTTTCCTCTCCCCTCTCCTTCCCCCCTCTCGTCTCCCCCCCTCCTCCACCCCCTCTCCCCCCTCCTCCCCCCTCTCCCCCCGCCTCCCCCCCTTTCCTCTCCCCCCCCTCCTCCCCTCCTCTTCCCTCACGCCTTTGTCGATGATCACCTCCGTTTTCTGATCTGACTTTTGTTTTTTATGTGTGAGTCTGTTTGTTTATTTGTTTGTCTTTGTGTCTGCCTGTTTGTCTCTCTCTCGCTGTCTTTCTGTCTCTGTCTGTTTGTATGTCTTTCTGTTTCTGATTCTCTCTCTCTCTCTCTCTCTCTCTCTCTCTCTCTCTCTCTCTCTCTCTCTCTCTCTTCTTCTTCTTCTTCTTCTTCTTCTTCTTCTTCTTCTTCTACTTCTACTATGTCTATCAATCACTCTATCTTTATCTCATCCCTTCTTGTTCCATTCTCCCGCCTTCCGTATTTCGCTCTTCCTCCTCTCCCTATTTCTCTCTGCCCTTCCTCCATCTCCCTTCCTCTGCCTCTCCTCTCTCTCCCTATCTCCTTCCCTCTACCTATTACTACCCCTCTCCCTCCCCCTTCTCTTCACCTCTTCCTACCCCTCTCCCTTCCCTTTCCCTCCCCCCTCCCTCTCCCTCTCCTCTCCCTCCCCCTCCCTCTGCCTCTCCTCTCCCTCCCCCCTCCCTCCCCCTCTCCTCTCCCACCCCCCTCCCTCTCCCTCTCCTCTCCCTCCCCCCTCCCTCTCCCTCTCCTCTCCCTCCCCCCTCCCTCTCCCTCCCCCCTCCCTCTCCCTCTCCTCTCCCTCCCCCCTCCCTCTCCCTCTCCTCTCCCTCCCCCCTCCCTCTCCCTCTCCTCTCCCTCCCCCCTCCCTCTCCCTCTCCTCTCCCTCCCGATCTCAATCTATCAATCAGCCTATCCATCTATATCAACCGTATTTTCTTCCATTAGCCTAACTGATAGGTGCTCTTTCTTCCGAGGCAGTGACGCATAGGTAGCCAATTGCAGAGAGTTAATGGGTGGAGATGGGGAGAAAAGGGAAGAGGGAGGAGGGAGGGAGGGAGGACGGAGGGAGGGAGGGAGAGAGAAGGGAGTGATGGATGGAGGGAGGGAGGGAGGATGGGGAAGAAGGGAGGAGGGAGAAAGGCGGGAGAGGGGAGGGAGGTAAGTGAGAGGATGGGAGGAAGGAGCCAGGGTGGGAAGAGAGAGAGAGAGAGAGAGAGAGAGAGAGAGAGAGAGAGAGAGAGAGAGAGAGAGAGAGAGAGAGAGAGAGAGAGAGAGAGAGAGAGAGAGAGTTTGAGTGAGAGTGAGAGACAGATTCAGAGACACATACAGACAGACAGCCAAACAGCCAGACCACACACAAACATCAAGAAAGTAAACAGATAAAAAACAAGACACAAACCGAGAAACAGAGACAAAGAAAAAAAAAACAGAGACAGAACGAGAACGAAAAAAAAGAGAGAAAAGAGAAAGAAAAAAAAAATAGAAATAAAACACAATAAGAAAATTTAAGAAAACTACCTCCATAATACGCCTTCCCACACTGAGGACCTTCTGCCCTTAATCATTATATCAAGTATGCTATGCGCGTATACTCAGATCCCAGCCACAGGGAATGGAAATGCTAAGCTGCTTTGCCCAGCTTCAGAGACAGCGGCGGCTCGGGGGAAGCTTTTATTAAGCTTTTGTTAACACTTACATGGGTGTCCTTCTGTTGACACTTACACACTTACATACGTGAAGTTATGCTGACGTTGCTCATGTGCGTTTATGCTGATACTTACAATATGTGTATCTGTATTGAGACTTGTTCTTGTACATTTGTAGTGATACATATGTACGTATATACTGACACTTACATATGTGCGTCTATACTGACACTTACACATGTGTTCTTACATTCACAGTCACACATATGTATTATATTCACAATGGCACAAGTCCTCTTGTATACACACATATATGGTGAGGTGTGTGTGTGTGTGTGTGTGTGTGTGTGTGTGTGTGTGTGTGTGTGTGTGTGTGTGTGTGTGTGTGTGTGTGTGTGTGTGTGTTGTGTATTGTGTATGCAGCATGTATGCAAGGAATAGGCTTTTGTGTACACGTATATTAATACATATGCACATAATGTGATCAGGATTGTAACATACATAAGTGAACACACAAGACAAAATAACTAAGTATGTGTACAAAGTATATATCTGCTCATGGTACCTTCGTATGTATATAATTAAAATTGTATTTATGATGAAAGAGATTGTTATTGTTATTACTATCATTATCATTATTACCATTATTATCATCACTATTATTGTTATTATTATTATTATCATCATTATTATTATTATTACTATTATTATTATCATTATTATAATTATTATTATTATTATTATTATTATTATTGTTATTATTATTATTATTATTATTATTATTATTATTATTATTATTATTATTATTATTATTATTGTTATTATAATTATTACTATTGTTATTATTATTTCTATTATTATCATTATTATTATTATTGGTATCATTATTGTCGGCATTATTAAAATTATAACAATAACAACAATTTGATGAAAATGATAATATTGGCAATAAGAATAATCATAATGAGGATAATAATAATGACAATAATAATAGATAATAATGATGATAACAGAAAGTATAATGATAATAACAGTACTGATAATGATAATTATAAGATTAACAATGATAATGATGATGGTAACGATAATAATAGTAACAACAATGATAATAATGATAATAATAACAATAATAATGATACTACTACTACTACTACTACTAATAATAATAATAATAATAATAATAACAATAATAATAATAATAATAATAATAATAATAATAATAATATCAACAATAATGATAAGAAAGAAACAGTGATAATGATGATAATAAAATTAATAATATGGATAACACTAATAATGATAACAATGATAGTAACATTATTAATGATAATAATAAGATAATAATAATTGCATTTTTAATCACGACAACAATAATAATAATGATAATGCTATAATAATCATGAAATAACAATCACAATTATAAATATCAATTCATTATTATGATTATCATAATAACAAAAGATAGTTATAGAATATTTAAATATTAACTTCCAAAACACAGCAGTTCGGTGTACAGTCTCACATCAACGCCCACAAACCCTGTTAAGTTCTTTACTCAGTATATTTTTTTTTCGAAGGAGTGGGATTCTTGGCCGTGACTCTGAAAATAGCTTTCTGAACAGAACAAGGAAGGGGAGAACGAAAAAAAATACACCTTGTTCCATTTGTGATTTGTTCAACACGAATCTTACACTGTTGTATAACACTTATGGATTTTGTGTGTTGCAAATAATTTTATTGTTGATAGATATCGACAGAGGTACAAGCATAATGATAATATATATATGTATGTATATGTATATATATATATATATATATATATATATATATATATATATATATATATATATATATATATATATATATATATATATATATATTTTAACAGAGGGACAATTAGCCGAGAATGATATAAGGTGGTACTGATAATATGTATAGACATAACAATAATACATATTTTCTTAATAGTTATATATATATCCTTTTTATCACAGTGACGTGGATGATAAGCGATAAAAACAAGATTCCATCAGTATAATTCTCTTTAGATCAAAATGCCAATTTGATATTCCTTGGCTTAATTACAGTGTAAATAATTGGTTTGTCCTAATTATGTTCTTTCGTTTCCTCTTTCTTTCTGTTTCTTGGTTTTGCCTGTTTGTTTTGTATTTCTATTTTCCTCTATCCTTTTTCTGTCTGTCTGTCTCTCTCTCTCTCTCTCTCTCTCTCTCTCTCTCTCTCTCTCTCTCTCTCTCTCTTTTTTTCTCTCTGTCTCTCTCTCTCTCTCTGTCTGTCTCTCTCTCTCTCTCTCTCTCTCTCTCTCTCTCTCTCTCTCTCTCTCTCTCTCTCTTTTTTTTCTCTCTGTCTCTCTCTCTCTCTCTCTCTCTCTCTCTCTCTCTCTCTCTCTCTCTCTCTCTCTCTCTCTCTCTCTCTCTCTCTCTCTCTCTCTCTCTCTCTCTCTCTCTCTCTCTCTCTCTCTCTCTCAAAACCGTCTTGATAAACACATAAATATTGAATAAGTGTTGACGGGAAGAACAGAAAATTAAAGAGAGACATTTTTGAAAATCCAATCACCAAAACCATTTTTTTTCTTTTAATTCCCATCCTCTACTCTCCTTTTTTCTTTTTCATAAGTGACGAATATGTCCGTAATGTTCCAAGTACGAAAACAACATTTCAATATTAAAAAAAGAGTTAGAGAGAGAGAGAGAGAGAGAGAGAGAGAGAGAGAGAGAGAGAGAGAGAGAGAGGGAGAGAGAGACAGAGAGAAAAAGAAAGAAAGAGAGAGAGAGAGAGAGAGAGAGAGAGAGAGAGAGAGAGAGAGAGAGAGAGAGAGAGAGAGAGAGAGAGAGAGAGAGAGAGAGAGAGAGCGAGATGAGAGAGAGAGAAGAGAGAGAGAGAGAGACAGAAAGAAAAAGAAAGAGAGAGAGAGAGACAAAAAAAAAAAAAAAAAATTACGTCGCCCTGTTGTCTCGTTTCCCCCTCTTGGGTTCCCGGATGAGGGGGGAGGGGGAGAAGAGGGGGAAGAGGGTGGAAAGGGGGGGGGGGGCAAGCGAAAGGGGTCCGGTGGCTGCTTATTTGTCTGGCAACGATGGCTATAATGAGCATGAAGGATGA